GCTATAATCCATGATTCTCTGTCATTTTTAGTCATACAGACCCATTGGCAAATAGTTTTGCGGAGTCCAAACCTAAAAGTTTTGGTAAATTTTAGTTGTTCCGACCCAGGTATTCAAACTTCATGACATCATGAGCTACAATACATAATTGTTGTCCATGTTCGGTCTTTTTCACCAAATAGCACTAATTGGATTCGGACTTCACGCTTTTCGTCAGCTTCAACCAATAATTTTCGTTTATTTTTATAAGGTTTGATAAAATAGCATATAATAATGAGAAGTCCAAATTTTAAGATTTCATTAGCTATAATCTATTATTTTTGTCCATTTTGTTGGTTTTGATCTAACTAAAAATAATTTTGCATTGTCTAAAATTCACCATTTTATGAGTTGTAACTCATGATTTTTCTTTATTTTTTTCATTTCTACTGAGTACTAAATAATTAACTGGAGCTCAATTTATGATTTTTACCATTTTTGTTCGTTTTCACTCAAAAAACTAATAATTAAACAAAGTTCATAATTCACCTTCTTTGCTATAATCTATGATTTTTGACTATTTCTTTTGGTTACAAAAAATGAAAAATAATTAATTGGAGTTAAAGTTTATGATTTTCATGAGATATAAATCACGATTTTCATGAGATATAACTAGAGTCCAAAATCGTGCAATCTCATGTTCATGGAGGATGACAGGGATAGGTTCCGGTAATGAGAAGGAAAGAAAGTAGAGGAGTTCTAGGATGTATGTGTTAAGATCTGTAGGCCTTATATGGACTCTATTTATGTTGTCTTTTTAGTTTATTCATAAATGAATCAACTTGATATGTTTGGTTTGTATGGTTTTGATTTGAGGTTTGTCTGTTGCGGAGTTATGTATTTGTACTCTGTCAATTCGTTCTTGGTTTTGTTGGGATGTATACAGGTATTCTTGGGGCATTGAGTGTAGGGATGAGCATGGTTCGGTCCAAACCGAAAAAACCGACCGAACCGACCCGAAAAAATTGGTTTTATGAGTAGGACGGTTCGGGTCGGTTTGAAAACTTTTCAACCCGAACCGATCCGAACCGACTGAATATAGTATAATACTACCCATTCTGATCTCAAGCCCTACCCGACCCGTCCCCAAATAGGGGTGGTAAACGATCGAATCGAATCGAATACTACGGCATTCGTATTTGTATTTGTTTAAAATTATCGAATTCAAACGCGGACTCTAATATTCATATATCTAGTTTTTCGAATTCGAACTCGAATACTTGGTATTTGATAAATATTCATGGATATTTATCGAATATCAAAGTATATTTATTCCGCTAAAGAATTTGATTTTTAAATAGTATTAAAATTTATAAATAAAAATTATTCCTTTATAATATACGATGTATGTATATTTAAATCAAGATTTTAATTAGAAAACAGATTTAGGATTATTTAAGTCTTAAAATTAGTATATAAAACTTAAGTAGGAATGGTAAGTGGGTTAAAAATATGACATCATATGTGCAATAATACAAATAATAAGTTGTGATCAAATTTTAAACGAATATTTAATAGACAAACGAATCGAATATACATTTGGTTAAATTCTATTCGTGAGTAAACTCGAATACTAAAAAATATTTGTTTAGTGGTAAATGAACTACCGAATCAAATATGACCGAATAGTTACCCGAACAATTATCGAACTATTTGCTAATTATTTGGTTCATTTCCACCCCTGGACCCCAAAGAGTCAAAGACTCAAACTCTAAACTCATTTTCTGGATCATTATGGGTTGAAAACAGTATCATTATATTAGTGTTTAATGCTTCATAATCTCCTACTTTATTGATATTTTTTTCTTTAACACGGTTTGTTGTTTGATAAGAAGTTTGATGAAGTTAGAAACGAACAAACCGAACCGAACCGTACCGAACCGACTTGTAACAGTTCGGTTCGGTTTTGAATTATAGGCGGTTCGGTTTGGTTGTTCAGATTTTGGTAAAAACCGAACCGAACCGACCGTTGCACACCCCTAATTGAGTGTACACAAATATAATGTATGTGATGAAACACCGCCAGATCTATTTGTTGAATAAGAAAGTTGTACACAAGGATTTGATGTACTTGATGTGCACAGGGAATTGAGTGTGCACAATAAACACTCAAGTGAGAAAAACCAGTGTTTTCTAGCAGTAGACTGCTAAAACTCTCTATAGAAAACAGGAGACTACTAGTCTATGTTTTCTGTCATCAAATTGAAGAAAACATGGTACTAGCAGTCCGTTTGTTTTCGAGAATCTGATTAACACGTAATTAGCTAACATTTACACGGCATAGCTGGTCCCATATTTTTTGAAAACTTTATTTTATAAAATCAACCACTTTTCAGCCAGTTGTATTGACATAGCTAAAAATAGTTTTATTTTGCGAATTAAAAGATTTTAAGGTCAATTTTACTTATTAAATTCTTATTAAAATTGTCTATTTCAAAATTTTCATCTTAACCAGAGTTCAAAATGCACGATTTTTATGAGTTATAATCCAAAATTTTTGTCCATTTTTATTCATTTCGACCAAATGATAAATAATTATGAGTTAAAAGTCATAATTTCATAAGCTATAAATAATAATATTTGTCCATATTCTTTCATTTTGACTCAATTGAAAATAATTTTGCAGTGTACAAAATTCACCATTACATGACCTATAATCCATGACTTTTGTTCATTTTTAGTCGTTTTCACCAAATAGAAAATTATTAACCGAAGTTTAAAATTCATGATTTTCATGAGCTATAACCCATGAGTTTTATCCTTCTTCATTTTTTTTCACCAAATAGAAAATAGGTAACTAGAGTTCAAAATTCAAGATTTTCATTAGCAATAGCACCTGATTTTTGTTCATTTGTGTTTTGACCAGATGGCAACAAGTTTTGTGAAGTTCAAAATTCATAATTTTATGATTTATAACTCCTAATTTTGTTTTTTTTTTCATTTCAACCAAATTGCAAACAATTGTGCAGAGTATAAAATTCACGATTTCATGAGCTATAATTCATGATTTATGTCCCTTTTTGTTTGTTTTTCTCCAACTCGCAAATAGTTAACTAGAGTTCAAAACTCATAATTTTTAACTGTAATCCAGTTTTTTTTTTTAATTTTTTGTTCATTTTGATCAAATGGCAATAATTATGAGTTTAAAATTCTTTATTTCATAGGCTATAAGCAATAATTTTTCTTCATTTCGACCCAAGTTTCATTAGCTATAACCCATGATTTTTATAAGTTATTGTTCATTTCAACCAAATTGCAATCATCTATGCGTAGTTCAAAATTCATGCTTTCCATGAGCTTACAGCCATGATTTTTGAATATTTTTGACCAAATGAAAATTAAATATGTTTCTATTAGAATTTAGATTTTCATGGGCTATAACCCACGAATTTTGTAAATTTACGTTTGTTTCAAGCAAATGGAAATTATTATGTGTACATAAAAATTTATGATTTTCATATGTTTATAACCCACGATTGCTATTAATTTTCATTCATTTTTTACCAAAATGGCAATTTAGAACGCATACTTCAAAATTGAAGATTATTAAGGTTCTATGACTCACGATTTTTGCAATTTTCTTTCGTGTAGATTGAATGGAAACTAAGTATATATACATCAAATTTAGCAAATTTTATGGGATATAACTCTTGATTTTTGTCAATTTTTATTGATTTCTACCAAACACAATTAAGTACGAAAGTTCAAATTTATTATTTTTATGGGCTATAATCATGACTTTTACAAGTTTTGTTCATCATGATGAAATGAATTTTAAGTATTTCTACATCAAAATTTATGATTTTTTGGGCTATAACCATAATTTTTGTCATTTCCGTGCATTGTGACCAAATGTATTGAGTACCATAGTTCAAAATATATGATATTCATGAGCCATAACCCACGATTTTAGTAAATCTTTTTCTTTTATCCGAATGCAGATTTAGTATATTTTATATTAAAAATATTTTATTTTCACGCACGATAGCCCACAATTTTTTTCAATGGTCATTCTTACGACCAAATGTCAAGTAGGAGGAGTTAAAAACTCATGATTTCGTGAATTATTGTTCAAATCGAACGAATGTAAACTAAGTATATGTGCATCAATATTTGTGATTTCCATGACATTTAACTATACATACTTCGAAATTGCATGAATTGATGGGCTATAAGCCACAATTTTGTCCGTTTTCATTCATTATAGCCCTATGACATTTAAGTTTGCATAATACAAAATTCGTAATTTCCATGGTTTATACCATATGGTTTTGTAAATTTTCATTCGTTTAGATCCAATGACAATTAAGTACGTGTATTTTAAAACCACGATTTTATTCAGTTAAACCCATTTGTTCTTTCCTTTTCCCCCCCTTCAATTCAATGGCAATTAGCTACAGAATATTTCTAAATTTGTAATCTCATGACTATAACCTAGCATTTTCTCCCCCTTTTTTTGTTAAGTTGGACCAAAAGAATTTTATATGCGACTTCAATATACGAAATTTTTAAAGATCATAATCCACAATGTTTTGTTTATTTTCTTTTGTTTCTACCCAACGACAATTAAGCTTTCAGAAGTCAACATTCTCAATCATCCTTGGCTCCATGATTTGTTCAAGTAGAAAAATTCTCTTCTATTCTTTAACCCTTCACGTCTTAATTCTGTAATTCTCTTCTATTCTTTAACCCTTCATGTTCTTAATTCTGTACCTTAACCCTTATTTTTGGTTCTACAATCCAGTATTTTGTGTTATTCAAGGTGGAAAATTATAAAATCCTCGCCAAAAATTACTATAAATCGATATAACTCGAAGCTCATAGGCACCAAAATCTGCCAATAAGAGTGTTAGGACGAACTCAAACGAGAACAAAATCCCATCACCATACCATTTCGTCCTACAAGTCGACTGAAACTGCTGAACAACAGACCTGTAGGATATTTCAGCGGAGTCGATTGATTAAAAAGTGGAAATACTGAGACCATAGAATAGGAACTGGATGGTAAACTCAAATACAATCATCAAGTACCATAAGACCCCAACCCTTCTTTAAAAATTGTACAAATGTCTGTAGTCAAAAAAAAAAAAAAAAAAAGTTGCAATCTAGCAAAAGGTTTGGTCAACTAGTTCGACCCTGAACATCACTCAATTTTAATCTCAACTTCATGTTACTGGCTTGAACTGTTATCTCTCCTTTGGATGCCTCCACTTTTAGCACCCTGGCTTGTTTTCCCAGGGACGGAACAAAAACTGTATGACCGACCTCTGGAATTACATTTTGCTTCTCTGGAAAACATAAAAACAGCAAACTTCAATGAAGAACTCCCTATCATAGAAGATGCTAGCTGATTGAATATGTAAACATATCAGTATAATCATACAAAGCTTATAATGGACATTTACTTACCATTAGAAAGTTGAAGGGGGCTTGAAGATCCAATTTTCTTATTGACAATGTCAGATGATCGCAACGTTTTGGTACTTCCACTCGACGGTCCACTATCACCTGTTTTAGAAATCTGCGACGACTTTTGGGCTATTGCCGACTCCCGAAACTGTTGCAGCTTACTGCGAAGGATAGAACGTGCTACGGTTGCAGTCTCCGAGACTGCTTTAAGTTTTCTGTTCCTCTGGACGACACTGTGTTCAGAAATAGTCTGCTTTGCCATCAAAAGATCATCATGAAGCTTCCTTGACAACCTAATATCATATAATCAAACACAAGTAGTTAGGTGCACATGATAAAGATGCTTAGAAGAATATAACTATTTTTTTTTCTTTCGTTTCTTTTTTCTTTTTTTTTGTGGCTGTTACTACTGCAGGAGATCAGGCCACTTCAGTTCCTAGTAGAGTCAATATGGCAGGTCCTTCCAGTTGGCATTTTGAAACGTTACTAGTTTACAATACTATCAAAACAGGACGGAATATAGCTTATAATAGTTATGGAATATATGTCAAGACTGTTTTGATGATAAGTCAGGATCTGAAAACAAAAAGTCAAGTATTAAGGTCATAGTTGAATACAATACATATGCGAGGAAGACCGCAGGATATTCCAACTTTTGAGAGAGCGAATAAAATGGAAATATAGTTGCCAGAAAGAAGCACTAGCAACAATTGTAGAAAGTTCATTCTAAGAGAGTAAACTGCGGGTAAACATACGTAAACATTTCATCCCACACATACACACACGCAAACACACACACAGGGTTTTCCCACTAAATATTCCATAATAGGGTAATAAAATTCCATCAATAGTTTCATCAATCTAGAAATGTTTGGCTAGTGTTTCCACAGAGATCTAAATTGAAAAGAATGAAGAAAAAAAAGCCTAAATTAGCATCAACGCTATGGAGAGTGATTCTAAGCGTCATCAATGGCTCATTTGGAATGCTATTTGCCAGCTTATTAAGAGAGAGGTCGCCATATTAGTTCCAATTCTATATTGACAAAGTTTTTACGTGCAAAGTTCAATGCAGGCTATTATTTATATAACTCTTTATGGAACCAGCATTTCATTTTGAAGTATACTAACAGATCTGGTTACTTACACCACTGTCAATGCTACAATTTTGTACCAATGGCTGTAATTCCATTCATCTATTTGAAACTATTTCCAGTGAAGCTATGTTAATGGCACAATTTTCTAGAAAAGGCTATCCATTTCTTTTTTCTCTCATTGGAAGTGTTTCCAGATGGTCAGCTGGGGAGGGAAATTTCATTTCTGGAATGATTGACGGCATGGTGAATCTTCATCAGTTGTTTTTGTGGCAAATTCAACACATCTAGAAGCAAAGATTTTTTTTTTAAGGGCAATGGAATATGGAATCTTCGGTATCTATCTTGCCTATAATTTTGTTCGTAGCATTGAGAAACTGAAGTAGCATGTTAAGGAGGCAAAATGACTTGGAGCAGTCAAACTTGTCAATATTTAGCAACTATTCTTGGGGCAGTGCTAGAGCTTCTAGGACATTAGTTCATCCGTACCAGCTCATCTAGCTGATTAGACAGATAACTTATGCCATTGGATCCAAAAGACACATAAATTAAAGTTAATAGCTAAGATAAAGTTTAACACAATTGTAGTAGTTAGCATTAGTTTCTTTGTTTAGTCCCACGATGAGGGAGAGATGATAGCTTTCTATAATGATCAGAAACAATTGTGTCGCGAAAAAATCATGTAGATAAGTAGTTATGAATAATTGTACTTACATCAAATAGTGTTCTGCCTCTCGAAGATGTTGCTGAAAATCTTGTTTAAAAGTCTCCATGTCAACTATGACCTACATGTAAGGATTAAATAAAAAAGTACACTTCTATGGATTGTTATCAAATAACTAGTCTCAGGAATCCAAGATTCTTTCATTATTCAACTATTAATTTCCTTTTGGAGAAAACAATAAATCTTAAAAGGTAAACATATTAAAGGTCAAAATGGGAATTTCACAAGAATTTACTTTTATGTAGAAAGAAAATACAACCCGGCTACTTATATGGTTTCTTATTCTGTACACGTGTTACTAGTTATCCCCCACATCTTAATTAAAGTTAACGAGATGGGAAAAAAAGTGAGATAACGAAATGCCCGTCGTTTTATTCTTAAACTGTGCGAGGTTTCACGATGGCAAATAAGAAAATCTTATCATATCGTTTGATGTCAAAATATCATGCAATAACAAAACTGCTTTCTAGTACTTGCGGGAACAGACTAGAAGTTTTAATCTTAACTTTTGATTGCAGAAAAAAATTATAATAAAAAAGATCAGCAAGGTGGTTTACTCTCTTAAACCAAGCATCCAACACTCTTCTCAACAGTGGAGTTTCCTGAATCCTCCTCAACTTCCAAAATTACATATAACTCCTCAACTTGACGAATTGACGAGTAGCAACAAGGCAAGATGGGGATACATCATGGCTAAGGTTTTCTTTAGAAGATGGAGGCTAACTAGCTGTACTCCTTTCATACAGAGGTCACTTAAGTAGAGAGGATTACAGACTTTGTATATACACAAGCTTTCTTCTCTAAGAAAACTAGACCGGATCCCAATCATTCCATTCAACTGAAGAAACATGCCATAAGTGGTGCACTAAAACCCTAACCTGAGCCCAGACTCTCTCTTATGCATATGCCCTGAAACACCCTGGGCCTTGAGATTCAGGTTTCACAGTTATTAGCACCCTTCAGGTATTCCATTCAACTGAGGAAACATGCCATTTGTGGTGCACTACAAACCCCAACCCACAATGTCACTAGATATAAACCGCGAATCTGGGAGTATTGAATAAACAAAATACATGTTGCAATCGAAAAACCAGCAAATCATACGCAAGGAATTTAACAATTTACTTCATTGATTTCAGCACCAGATGTTCCATGTAGCTTGCGTGCTTTTTCTAATATGTGATTGGATAACCCTAATCTTTCAGCAATATTAATGGCATTTGAACGACCTGCAACAATAAATGCCAAAACTCATGTAGTATTCAAAAAACAAAAGAAACAATGCTCACTGCTATATTTCATAATAAACGTTTGACTGAGTGCATGTCTTTTATACCTAAGAAAATATTCTTCTTTGTTTTAGGAAGATGATAATACTTTTTTTTTGGGTGACGAGAGAACCTTGCCTAGCACACTCAATTGCCCCCGCTAAGCCCAGGTTCGATCCCTGCATCCGGAAGGGGACTCGCCTCATTACCAGGGTCCCATCCCCACAATTCATGGGCCACCGGCATAGAGGACCCACTAAACCAAATAGTCTCGAGGCTGAGTGTACGAGCCAAGTAAATCCTCGGACCTCCCTAACCACCCTAACACCAAGGAGATCAGGTGAATGCGTGCACAGGGGTTTCAAAATCAGGACCAGCAGGACACAAAGTCCTATGGAGATCTCCTCCACCTTTGGGCTGCTGACCGCTAAGTCCCACCCGCGGGTGGTGATTGATAATACATTTAATGCATAGTAACAACAGTCCAAAGTCTTACATTTCCTCTTTTTCCCCTTTATTCACGCCGAGGAATTATTCACCAAAAGTTATCTTTTCAAAACCATTAAGGATTTTGTGGTTAATGCATTGTGCACAAAGGAAAACCATATAACACATAGATGGAGACATTGAACAGTGAACATCGCTATTCAACAACAAGGGACTAAACAAGTAGAAAACCTCTCGTAATATCTTTTTTCTTGAACAAAATTTTACATATCACTCATTCTTACAATGTTTTCTTCAAGTACTTCTAGCATACATCTTTTCTAGCGCCACTTCATTACACAGTACCTAGCTCAAGATAGTCATAGACATACTTGGAGTGACAGCAGAGCTCAAATAATCCTAATATCACATCGCACACAGATGGAAATGTATGCTACTCATCTGGTCCGCATAACTATCTACTGTAACTTTCTACCCAAATTGATTGGCTATCAAGGATCACATAATCATCTGTGAGCATTTCTCCACTTCAACATCCTACTTTGACTGCAAGAATAGCATCCTTCTCAAGCTCACCAGCATAAGCTGATAAGCTTGCAATTGATTCTCTTTAAACCAAATCTTATCACAGGGTCCATGACAATCGTTTTGTTTTATCTTAATTCTGTTGGGCAACAATTACGTAAGTCTATGGAGAGGATTTAACATATCATGTTCTATCACATTTTGATGTCAAACTAGCATACAACTAATATATGACCTGACCAAAATGTTTGCAAAAGGAGAGTAGTGGTAGTTCTTCATCTGTTAGATATCTTCTAGTTATCAGTGTTCAAATGATCAGCAGAAACATGAAAAGAGAAACCACCTACATCAATCTGTTCTCTAAAAAACATTAAAATTAGTCTTACATTAAATACATTATTGAAGTGTGTGGATAACAAACGAACCTGGTATTCCCCAGAGAATCTTATATGTTGGCTTTAAGCTCCTTTCATCAAATTCTACACAAGCGTTCTCAAACGCATCATTACTGTGAAAACAAAGTAACAGAAAATATTAACAGCTATCTTCAAAGTTTGAGAAAAGAACAAAATATAAGACCAACCAGAAAAGAATGCTAGAACATAACTAACATGGCATTTACAAATTTCAAATATAGGAGAGTAATGGATTTATAGAAATCTGGAGATAATTACAGTGGAAAAGAAATACAATGCATATGGACTAGTAAGGTATCTAAGGATCTGAAGTGAAATAAGGAGGGCTGGAGGGAGAAGGTGGGATAATCACTACCACATCGGTTTTGCATATCTATTATGTGCCAACTGGATGTGTTTCCTTTGGTCCACCTAGTAAAGAAGTTGACTATCGTTCATGTCGGCCTGAAGGTTGGGGAGTCCCAATGTTGGTCTTGCAGTTAAGACGGCAATGTCCGTGTAACCCTCAAACCAGAAAAACCTATGTGGTAATCGTGTTTTGTACCTCCATCAGAAGAAATGTAGTACCGCCTCTTAAAGCCAGAATGTTGCAGATGAATTCTGAAAGTAGTTTCATAAAGTCAAGAATCATTTGTTTGCATCAGTTCGCAGTTCTTTTCCATATTTTCGTAGTAATGACGAAATAGAAATCATAGGTGCAAGAACGAATAGAATTAATAGGTGTGCAAGTAAATGGATCCTTCAGGATTGAATTACATACTGCAACAGAATAATGCAAGTGATCCAAATAGTAAGAAATTTGCAGTTTGCATGACACTGAATAAGTTAAGCTAACACATTTTTAAAAATAGATTAGGGATTATAACTTGTTTAGAATATAACTAGACATGATTACAAGGGAGAGCAAATTCAACTATTAGTGAAATAAAAAACATATTGGCAATTTTGCAAGTAAAATAGTAAAACTATTGCAGCAAATTTGATGTTACTTAAGATCATACCTTTGGTGGACTTCATGTATAATAATCATAATGTTAACACGGGGGTCCCATTACGTAAAGCTTTGACAACTTTATGACACACATAAGGTCTTCCACCTTTGTCAATATAATCTTTAGGTGACTTCCATGTCGGCTCCTATTATTATTATCTCCATAACTGCACTGCTTGAAATCATACATGAAAACTTAATGAAGCACATTTCCCTCCTTACAGAGAAATGCAGATGGACCATTCAGTCCAGTAGCGCACCAAAGATCAAGACAAGGTGGTTTTAGCTCGTAGTTTAAAACTTGATACTTGTTCTGATATATGTTTCTAGAGGTTAGGTCAGTCAAATCTTGCCATGTGCTTGAATTTAGAATTTCAACATATTAGGTTGGTTTTGTATGATTTCCATGATTATGTTAGTTTCAATTCATTCTTTAAGTGTCTTTAACTAATTGCTATTGGTAACAGTGAGAATAATGTAGAGTTTCTTTTCGATGATTGCTTATTAATTCACTTCCCTATTTCCAGTAGTATAACCTATTTCTCTTGCGCATTATTTTCTATTTGAAACTCCTTTAAATTTGATACGTCATTTCTTCTCTAACACCAAAGACCAAAAATCACTAAACAAGCATCTTCATTATTAGGCATCTCTTTCGTGCTATTTTCTATTTGGAACTCCTTTAAATTTGATACATCATTACTTCTTTAATGCCACAGCCCAAAAATCACTAAACAAGCATATTCTGATATTAGACAAGAAGCCAGGTACCTCTACTTCAAAGTTACCTGTACTTCAAAGTTTTCAGTTCTCCATGATGTGTTGTAGCTATCGTTAAAAAAGAACCATATTCAGCAAAAGATTCTAGAAGTGACATGCCCAAGGCTGCTCCTTCAAGTGGATTTGTTCCTGCACCAACCTAAAATAATATGTGACATGACATTAAATATTGTTTCAATCATATGGAGCTCGGAACATACATTATTTCTTTGTAATGAAATAAGCAATTTGAGGAGTGACAACTTATCAACCTAGTTCTTTACTTACAACTACAGGTCATTTGAATCAATAAATCCACATATCCTATGCTTAATTTGTATCTTCCACAAAGCTGGTAACAAGCAAGGTAAAGCAGGTTTGTGTTTGCCCGCTAACAGATTTAGTTGGTTTGAATTAAATACTTACAGAATGGTGAAAATATCTATCAGGATGAAGGGGAAGTTTCATTGGAGTTACAGTAGAGTGAATCCTAAAATAAATGCATGGATAAATAACAACTTTTACAAGGAATTTGGACACTGCCTAGTCAAATATGTAGTTGATGGTATCTGAGTCTCCCTAGTCCCTTTTCCATAATACCTATCCATATTCCAAGGGCTCTAATTACAACAGGTGTCATAGTAGTATCTTAAATTCATGCATTATTCATTTATGATTGTTTTGTTAGTCAAATAGGTTATTCAGTGATGAGTTTTGGTTAGGGAACGTCTATCATGAGTAGGGAGTTCTGTCCTTTGTTAGTGTGCATTTGATTGGTAAAGATGTAAAACTACTACTTAACCATGTGACAGTTCAACATGCTACTGAAAGACGCTCAACATAAAAGGAACTTATATTTTTGTTGATGAGTATATTGCATTTTACGTTTATAAGGTTCATAACTTAGTATACTTACTTCATCTAGAAGCACCAGTGACTTGTTTGTTGACTGTGCACGGAGAGCCTGGTGAAAAAAGAATATTTGAAGTAAGATAGGAACTGTCCATCAATATAGAAACACTCAATAACAGCTTCAGACAATAATTAGCTTTATCCTTGAAGAAATGGTAGAAGATGCTCTCTGAAATCCATGTAGACCTGCCTAAATGAGGGGAAATCAAAGACAAGGACAAAACTATGCAACTTTACTGTGGTTCATAGTAAATCTAAACCTTTCAAGTCAAATAATCTGATTAGGCTTGTGTGACATTCTCCCGCTAATTTATTATAGATGCAAGCCCACTCATGAAAAATATTAAGACTTTCTGCTGGATATAAATTTTCTTTCTCAATATTTTAGGCATAAATGGTAGAGAGATTAACTGCTTAGGCTTTCTGTTGGGATATTTGTTTACTTAATCCATTAGGCTGAGGTAAAAAAACAAAAAACTTTTCCTTTTCCTCCTCAGGTTTTAGCTTTTTTTATATTTACTTTTCAGAAGCAGGCAGTTGGTAGATCAAGCGTGAGGAAGTTCCAAAAGGAAAGAAAAAGAAACCGGTAAGGTTCTCTGCAGTTTAGTTGACATGAGGTATTTATCTGAAAATGATAATGATTGATAAGTTTTTCCTTGATCTGTACACTGTAAATAATTAATAAAAAGAAAGATAAATTAAAAATGTAATTATGTGCAGAATAACATTCTTATGAAAGCCACAGTGTTTTCACATGGAGAATAAAATTGAGAGTAATCTGGACCTACACTGATCTGTTTTAAGTGGCCAGAAAAAGTAGACAATGACTGGGTGAGGGACTGCTCATCGCCAATATCAGCAAAAATTGCATCAAACCATGGAATTTTCACAGGTTCAGATGCCAGCACATAAAGACCTGCAATTCCAAAAAGGTTAGAAGTCACAAATCTCCTAGTGCACGTGACAGAAGTTAAGAGAAGTGGAAATAAAAGAAAATTCTGGAGCAAGTATAACTCGTAATATCAAAAATGAATTGGCATCTTAGACTCATCTCTCTCGATCATGAATGAGAAATTGGGGTAGGGAAGTATATACTTTCTCATATCTTTAGATATCTAATGGTCATGTTACCCAATAAATATAATATTACTTAATTTTAAAAGGAGTATAACATTCATAATCATAAATCTTGTAATGGGGTAAAAATTATGCAGAACTATCTAAAGAAAATTTTACCTTAATTGGAATATTAGGTTATCCATGTGAACAATAAGACACACACACACAAAATACAATCTAAAAACAACTAATTTAGTTTTCTCAAAAGACAAGATTAAAGGATAATCTTAGAAAACTCAATATACGCAAAGCACTAGTTAGAATGGTACCAGTTTGGGTATGCGCAACGCACTAGTTAGAAGGATACCGGTTTGGGTTTTGTGTTCTGCATACAGGCAGGTATTGGGCTCTTTAGCTGCCCGCAGCCCCTTAAGGGTACTTGGGTGTGGTTGGGCTGCACATAGGGCACGTTCTCATTAGCAGGAAAGGCTAGGTCCTCATGCCGCGAGGCCAAGCACAATAACGCATCCTTTGCACATACATTAACCGTAACAAGTATGTGAACTGTCATTCTTTCGGGTGTGATTGGTGGCAGGCATTTAGTGGTGGAAGACAGGATAATGTGGTTTATATGGTGGAGTTATTCTTCTGCCAAGATGATGAGGGCTCATCTGTCACGTAGGGAAAAAAAAAGGGACGGGGGTATTAACTAGGAGCTTGCAATCAGGCCACCACCCTAGTAGAAGGATCTTAGGTTGAGCACTGGAGGAAGAGGCTGATAAGGGCCCCTGATGCTTCTCGACTAGCCTCTCAGCAGACCTTGTCCGAGCAAGGTACACCTCATACTGACATCATATAACCAACATGCATAAATAAAATTTTATGACCAATATGTATAAGCATGCAACAATTCATTGCTAACAATTTACAGGAAAGGAGCGTGCATGCACCAAAACTTAAAAGAGTTTCAGTTAAATTTTGGCAACACTGTACAGCGAGGGGTTTCCTTAAAGTGAGCGTGTCCATATGCATTGAATACGACTGTGAATCCATAACCATACATGCTAGTCAATGAAAGGAGAATATTTCGACAACAATACTTTGGATATGTCAAGATTAAGGACTTAACAGGCACCCATGACCCACACCAACTAAAAAGATGATAATGGACTCAGAGGTAGCTAACCTGCCTTAGCCATCAAAGATGCTAGGCCAACTGTCTTTAGACTGATAGTTTTGCCCCCAGTGTTTGGCCCAGTAATCACCAGCACAATGGTTTTCGTAGAAACAACAAAATCCACAGGGACAGGAGGTTCCTTTTCCAATTCCAAAACCTGAAAGAATTATGAACATGAGATGAGACAAGAATTTATAAGCCTGCCAGACACCCAATGAAGAAAATGAAATTAGTTAATAACTCAAGAATCATGACTTAACACTCACTCTGTTTTTCAAGAAGGAAAGACGTAACTCAATATTATCTTGTGTTGTAGGATTGTTCCCTTGCAATTTCTTCCTCCTTATATCCTACAGGCTTAACAACTTTTGCATTAAAATGAGATAGGAGCAACACCAAAATGAATGCAGGAAGAAAACAGAATGTGATTGAGATTGGAATTCCTGATAGTAAACAGAATGTGGTTGAGATTGGGATTCCTGATAAGGAAAACAGCTATCAGTTAATGGGCTGGATAAGAACTTATTTTTCCTTCTTTTTTCTTCTTCCTCTTTTGGATAGGGAGGGTGAACTTGAGATGTTATCTTAAATAAAGGTATTATTGAATAATAAAAATGAAACAATATATCAACATTTAAGGCTAACATCTGAAACCAAACTCACAGCAGTAGCAACAGCAATATCCTTCCTGGCTTTGTTTAGACTCTCCCGATGTTGTCTAAGTAACAAAGGGTGGTAAGCTTTCCGCATGTATAATTTCCACTCCCTTTGAGGAAGATCAGAAAAGGAATTCCTTTTGAAAGACTTGTGCACAGGAAAGTCGCCATCATTGATGTTCATATCACCTGGTAAACATAACTCTGGAATTGTACCATCATATGCAATACTGTACTTAGCTCGGGCACCGACCTACACAGGCAAAGATTCAGATAAACTAAGAAAACAAAAGAAATAATAAAAGAAAAATGGTGGGAGAAATTCTGTAACATTCCCGTAATGATAACCAAAGCTTACTCCACTGTAGCATTCATATTCATATATAGCCTTTTCTCGGTTAATGTACTCATAGTATCTATATCCTAACATTCTTCAGAACACAGACAGAAAATTCAATTATCTAATAATTCCAATAGAACATAGGAGAACAATTATCAAAAGAAACTAAGAATCACTGAGATATTGCAAGGAATATAGCTTGTTCAAAAAAGAGAAAAGGTAACTACTATTGTTTGATAACCAAGTATTTTACATACTAATGTGAATTCCTATATCTAGAAGAGAGCCAGACCACCCTAAACACTACCTTGAAACAATAACCAACAACCTATAGGACTGAAATTTCAGAAGTGGCAATCACAAAATTTCAATGTGAAGCAGCAGGTACATGATAAAATTTCTATAAAGAAAACATCCAGAAGCTAGTAATATATATCCCACAAAAAGTAGCTTCCAACCAAAGTGCAAAGGAATCATATCCGTGCATGGACAAAATGCTCTCTACAAAGAGCAACAAGAAAATGACGAATGGAAGGTATGGTGATGGCCACTTACAATATCCAGTTGAATTATGATGCGCAACAAGTTTTGAATGTGACTAAGTTCTCCCAGTATCTTCAATAAGACAAGAAATGATATGGTTAGGGGAAAAAACATGAAATTATCATTTCATAGAATAGCTTCATCAGAAAAATTTACAGAATAGAATCTAATTCTCAAACCTTATCACTTAATTTTGAGAGTACATCTTCTTCAGCCTTGGATACTAAAGCTCTTGCTTGTTGTAATTCATCATTCAGGGAGACAGCAACTATTGGCTCCATGAAACTGGCAGCACCTGAGCCACTAAGAAAAACATTATTTGCATCAAATATTGGGCCAGAGAACATTTTCCCTTCCACACGAACAAAACGCCTACCAAATTCTATGAGTATGCCTAACAAATGAGGGGAAAAAAGATGACGCTAAAGGAATATTTTGACAGATGTAAGACTTGAGATGCGTAGAATGACGAAACACATTTTGAACCTATTGTCAAAGACCCAGGTGGAATACTTAAATGAGATTTTCTCTGTCAAATTCACCAAAGATAAAAGAGAAAAAACACAGCAACTCAATGGATATTTTGTTCAAGTTTATATTGGTTGTCTTTTCTGACGAGTCAAGCAATTTCAGATTTCACTAAATTATCACAAGTCTCATTTTCAATCATGTCAAATATCTAACTACTCCTTGGAATCTCTCTCAATCACATGCCCTTCTGCATAACTACCTTTCTGTTTTCTGAAAGGTGATTATAACTTTGTTATTGAGATCCCCAAGGACTGTATCTAGCAATCATAAATTTAACACCAACACATCTATCATGATGTCGTGACTATGTCCCATATGCATGCAACATGGCATTTTTTCTTGGATTCTCCTTAATACTTGTAGATCAAGTCCTTTATTAAGTGTGGGCATAAACAGAAAGACAATTAAGCAGAAACCTGACATCCTAATCCAAACCCACACAAATTGTCTGCTATCTCAATCCGATGCGATCCCAGAATAAACAATATAAATAGTATCCACACATGAAACTGAGACATAATATCCAAACTAGGATAATACCCGAATCTGCAAGAATATCTTATAGTACAAAAAGAATTTTGACAATCACAAGAAGAAGTTCGAAAATCACGAGAATTTCTATATAAGCTAATTGAAATTGATACTTGCAGTTGCATTACCAAATTCAATGAGTGTTTTGCTACTTTTTAAGTTTAAGTATTAATAAATTCATTATTAAAATAATTTTATTACCATCTATTGAGTAAGAAAATATATATAAAAACTATATATTAGTTAAATGTAAAGCAGGATATAATGGAGTAGATAGTATAATATCCACAGCCACCCTGCTTATAAGCGAATACATAAATGTAGATGTAGTCCAACGGTGTGGATAGTGTTTACTATCAACCATATTCCAAGGCTATAGAAAGCACTAGGCAGCTTACGCACCGAGCCTAGGCTAGAAAGCGCTAGACAGTCTAGGCAGCGAGTAGGCAAGATTCTAGGCAGGGCCTTTGCAGTTTTCCTTTTTTTCTTTTTTTCTACTAACAATTATTGATAGTATAGGCCAATGATATAGAAAGTGCTAGGTGTCGGACTGTCGCCTAAGCGAATTTCTTTCTTTGTTTAATTGGTGGAGGTTTTGCTAAAGTTCAAAGGAGATGAAGGAGGTGTTCATAACTGGTGAAGGCAGCTAGAGTAGTTTGACGAAGGTTGGAGATGTAGATGTAGTATAACGGTGTGGATATTGTTTACTATCAACCGTATTCCAAGGCTATAGAAAGCACTAGGCAGCTTATGCGCCGAGCCTAGGCTAGAAAGCGCTAGATGGCCTAGGCAGCAACTAGGCAAGATTCTAGGCGTGGCCTTTGCGGTTTTCTTTTTTTTTTCCTAGCAACAATAATTGATAGTAAAGGCCAATGTTACAGAAAGTGCTAGGTGTCGGACTGTCGCCTAGGCGAATTTCTTTCTTTGTTTCCGTTTGGATACCATGGTGTTTTACATGTTTTCATGGTGTTTTTGCCAAAAATAAAACATCATGCGTTTAGAAACTATAGTGTTTTTTGAGCTAAATCATTCTCAAACTAAAAACACAACACTTATTTCAAAACACCTTCTAGGTGTTTTAAGGTTGGTGTTTTGGTTTTGAGTTTGAGAATGTGTTAATATAATATCTAACATAATATATTAAATGTAATTATTATAGAGTTATTATCAACATGCTTATTATATTATACTATATTATAGTCAATTTAATATATTAGTAATATTTATTAAATAATATAAAAATATAATAAATAAAATATCTTATTTAATAATACAATAACATATTAAATATCAATATTTAACATGTTAATAATGTATTATATAATAAATAAATACTAATAAAATATAAATAAACTAATAAAAATAATAAAAAAGTTATTGATAATAAATAATAATATAATAATGAAAGCATTTGGGCCCACTGACCGACACGTGACAGGAGTTTTCGCCCGCGGTTGGAACTCCAATTTTCGGATGAATTCGCTACTACTCAAACTTCGCCTACAGATCAAACTCGCCAGGCGAATCGAATCGGGTTTCCAACACAAGTCCAACACTATACGGGTTTCGCCCGCAACATAAACTCGCCAGCAAATGAGTTCAGTCCTCTACTCGAATTCGCCAACAGTTGAGTTTAGCTTCCAAGCAAAACTCGCTGCGATCAAGTCTCGCCAACAAACAAACTCGTCAACCAATTGAGTTTCACCTTACCAGCAATTCGAATTCGTCAGGGGCCGAGTTTCACCATCTCGGTGAGCTCGACGTCGCTCTGGTTTCGCCGGTAGCGTAAACTCACCAGAGTAGAGTTTAACTTCGAAAGTAGGCTTGTCACCGCATGAAGGACTTCACCCGCGATACGAGATCACCTGCAATTACAAGAGCAAAACACTGGAAAGCAACGCATCCAAAGAGGATACACACAATGAGTGGGCACAAACCTCATTGATACTTTAAGACAGTACATTTGAACAAAGTTATGGTCTTTTTGCAATTGCGAAAGTCATAATGACATGTTCAAAAAAGCAAAACATACACCCAGTGTTTCAAAACAATACATTTGAACAAAGTTATGACTTTAAGAGTCATGGCATAGTTCCAAATGCAAAACAAGCAAGCAAAATGTCTTAATACAATCCTGAGGCAGAAGTTTCAGTCGAACACATTGAAGGTGGAGATCTCCTCTTTGACCGCCTCAACCTGGCTCGCGTGGTCTTCCCGAGCCTTGTTTTCAGCAGCTTTCTGAATTCGATCTTCGCGGTTCGACATGGTGGCAACATCTGTCTGACGCAAAGCCAGCAGGCGCCGAGTCTCCACCTCAGCGTGCTCGTTCACCTTAACAATGTCGGATTGGAGCCCCTTCCACTTCGCCTCCGCCTGTCCCAACTCGGCCCTCAGGCGAGCCATGGTATGGTTGAGGTCAATGACTTGCTCCTCTAGCAAACGTTGTTGGCTCACCCAAAAGTTAGCCGCAGACTCCGAATCCGCTATCTCTTTGGAGCGGATTTCCTGTTCCAGGGCTTCCTGACGCCTGAAGTGAGCTAGACAGGATGCCATTTTAGCCTCCGGACCTCCCCGTAGCAAGTCCTCTAGCACCATCATGCGTGGCTCCAAGAGACGGAGTTCACGCACGCAACGGGTAGCGAGATGGTTCTCACCTGATCGCCGTAAATCGGCCACGTGATCATAGAGGGACTGCCTGAAGCTGTCAAAGCTACCCATACCGAGTTCGACGAGGGAAATTGTCTGCCTTACAGCGCCTTCGAACTCTTCAATACGGGCCTGCCATGGTTGAGACTCGGAGGGAACAGACCTCTATACAATATTATATTGCATTACATTTAATACTTATAATACTATAATAATATAAACTAAATATTATAATTAATATATAATATATTTATAATATGTTTTATACTAATGTTATAATGGGTCAAACTAGTGTTGACCAAAAATATTTAACATGGTGTTTTGAAAGCATTTTAAGGGAAAAACACAACACCATGGTGTTTTTTAAAAAAAAACAAGAAAAACACCATGGTATCCAAACGAAGCCTTAAGTGGTGGAGGAGGTTTTGCTAAATTTCAAAGGAGATGAAGAAGGTGTTTATAAGTTTATAACTGGTGAAGGCGGCTAAAGGAGTTCAAAGAAGGTTGGAGAATATGGAGGCCGCAGCAAAGAAATCACGACCAAGACCTAAATGGTGCAATATACATTATCAGTCCATGCTGCAAAATGCGCTCCAAGACATAGGCGGATGTAGATACCCTCGATACCCCCTTGGCAGCCTAGGCGTCTGCTTTTTAAAATGGTTTATTCGCTTAAAGGATGTAGAAAAGAAGCAGAATTGGATTTTGAATATCAATTTACAGTTTTTACACCCCACGTGCCCTCAACTGAAGGCAGACCAAACACATTCTCTAGTGTAATATTATTCTATTATTTTCGCAAGCTATTTTTTCATTTCAAAGACACAGACATCATTTGTAGCTAGTTGAATACTCCATCAATATGCCTTGCACGTAATACAATGTGTCTTTTTTTCTTTTTAAAATTCATATAAAATTATAGTCTTAATAAAAATAGCATGTACTAGCAAGTTGGTCTACGTTCCAATATAATATAGAGATACAAAAAGTAACTTCATTGAATGACAAGAGAGAATTAGAAGGCAGTCTCTAGTTCTAAATGTTCATTCAAGTAAAGGAAATTTTTAGTGCATCACAAGTGAGTCTATGTTATCAGATTAACATGTAAAAAGAAAGAGTAAATTACATACACACACAAGATCCTTGTTATAACATGTTTTGAGAAACCATGTCAACTATTAAACTATAAGAGCAAACCCTCAACTATTAAAACTTCACACTTCTTAGAAAAACCAATAACAGATATGTGCTCCTAAACGCCCAAATGCACTTGCAAGGATTTCATTCCCTTATCTCTTTGTTGGTGAGCATTAAAAAAAGAAAAAAAATGAACAATATTAATAGTTAAGTGGGTTACCTGTTCAGCTTAGTACCCGATCGTTGTGATTGGTTAGCATTAAAGAGAAGATATCCCATCCACTTGAGAAGTATCCAACCAAAAACTTAAATTTGGGGAAGACAGGCATAATGGACTCAACCAAAAGAGGAATGCTTGGTTAAATCAAGAATATACCAATTTTCTCCAATTCCTTAACCCACTACCTATAGTAAGTTTGTCAATTTCTAACTTAAGACATCTCCGATTCCAATAGTCAAAGCCACTGATCCAGGGTGTACCAAATGCTTGGAATAATACCACTTAATTGGATTGAGGTCATCTGACTGACAACAAGTCAGAAATAAAGGGGCTTGAATCTAATTTATCCAAGGAAAAAGACAATTGTATTGGGTTAGTTACTTAGTTATACTCTAATTCTGAAGAATATTTGCTTGCAACAATAAAAGAAATTAATGACCTAATATATTAGCTTACTGGGAGAAGAATAAACTATTTCAGTGAAACATTAGTATCCTCTAAACAGGAACAACTGCTTGTATAACACAGCCTTTATCATTTGGGATCCTCATTCTCCATTATGCATATATATGCTCAGACAAGAACCGACTCTGTTTAAAAAAAAGCTATGAGGTACACTATTCTGTTTATCTACCTAGATTCATGTTTTTCAGGTACATGAGTATATCCTAACCCTAACCACTCCATCAACCCATCATACAGGCCTTCATTGCATTTGTCTAGAAAAATTTTCCCTCACCTTATTCTCAGTTAAAGCAACCTCCAGACTTTCCAAATGCACTAATTCATAATACCATCACAAGAACAAAAGATTATTTATTCAAGGAAATGGCTTTCATGGATTTACTTTGCTAGGCTTATAGATAATGTTACCATAATAAATTTTAAAAGAAAGTTAAATCTTCTCTTTTTCTTAAGGTCCATATATATTATGCGTAATCAGCTCACCTGATGGGCTTTAACTTCAGCTGTTTCACATTTCTAACTTATTTAGGACCAGCATGGATTGACTGGAATTTATTAATTGCAGCACGGTACTGTAGCATGCATGCATGAGAAACTCATAGAGAAACATAACCAACTTTATTTCAGTTATGCAGTGTTTTCCTATAATGATTTATGTTATTACCATTTTTTCTATTAGACTTGTAGCTGGCATTGCTTGCATAATTTATTACACATATCCAGGCCATGTTAAGCCCCCTCTTCGCTTTTCTTAACTTTATTTTCCTTTAATTTACTTTCCTTTTTTGTGTTCATGTACTTTCTTGCTCCTTCACAATTCAAACCCTGGTAGTCTCTATGCCAACAATATATTTTACCACAATAACCAGCACCAGTTGGTTGCATGTTAAGCATTTGGACAATTCTCCTCATATTATTGCCCTAAGGTCAGCTAAACAATTTACAACTCATATCAAACAATGTCAAGAAATCAAATCGAAGGGCCATAAAATACTGCATATGAGCCAATCAGTTACGTCTATATCCATATACTTCCTCGTAACTCATATCTTTCATATCATAATATTTCAAGTTTGAATAGAGAAAGTTAATAAATAAGGGGTTTTGCATATATACCCCTCAAATCATCCATATCTGCAACTACCCCCGCCCCCAAAAGTCTTGATATTTGCAAAATTACTCTCCAATTCTCTCAACTGAGCTTTTTTACCCCTCCCACAACAATTTTAGTTTTAAACGGGAAAATGATGCAAGCTCATCGGACATTATTCAAATTTTTTTTATATTGTAATGTTTAAAAACTAACACTGTTAAACAGGAGGGTTAGAAAAATCTAATGTGAGAGAGTTGGGGGTAATTTTGCAAATACCAAGATTCAGATGGCAGATTTGCAAATAGGGAAGATTTGAGGGGTATATATGCAAAAATCCTAGTAAATAATATGAAGCATGCATTCTCATCACTATTCTGATGCAAGTTGGAAATCAGCTAATGTAGTCCTGCGTGTCAGTCTTTGCTCACCCCAACAATGCTTCAGCATGATCATTTATGGATTCCGCAAAACTAGACCCAAGAATTGTAAACCTAACAGGATCCAACTAAATATTATATACTTCAAAGTGAAGGATCTAACCTGATAAATCAGTGTTCCAAAAGACTTGATTTTCATAGTAATATAAGATCTACAATAAAATGCGAGTGGTAATTAGAGTGATGCATGCAGTCTGGAACTGATGCTTGCAACAGAACACAAGTGGTAATGGATATTCATAGTATTGTAAGTGCTTCATTTTTTGAAATGCATACGTGTTGAAAATATGCATATTCCCTGATTCCTTGCTACAAGGATATAGACTTCCTCTGAAGATAAAACTGCAGGTAGTATAAAACTTGAATATACAGTTAGTTGCAAGCAGGCCAAAATGAAAAGTGGATATAGACTTCCAGGCACCTGGTCAACAATAATCCTTCAAAAGATGTAACCCTATCACCCATTGTTTTCATGCACCATCTTCCATTAATACTGCAAACTTCCTAGTATAATAAAAGATAAAGATTAATATTACTATACCAATTTGTCAAACAAAGAGAGACGGGTGAAATACAATATGTAGGCAGAAAACACACCATGGTGGAACCTTGACTCTTATCTTCTCTTGTTAACTTGTCCATCAGTTGTAATAACTGAATATAAAACAATAGGTATCTATAAGCATTAGCAGTTAAAAGCATAAGCATAAAAAACTGAAGATACAAACTGTTTGGCAAAATATAATACACTGGAAATGTTTGGGCCATCCAACATATATGTACCTACAAAATTTTATGTGAAAAACCGGGTCTAGCATATTTTCAGTAGTAAGACTGCCTTATTTTCAGTAGTAATACAAAAGGTATGATTAGACAGAAAATATGTCCCTCTTCAACAAGAGAAACCTTCTACTTCATGACACAAACCATTTAAAGGAAAATCTGTTCCGGAATGACACGTGAGTTTTACCATTCAACTATGCAGTTACTAATAGAACATCAATGAAATTTCTAGATGTGAACTTGCAAGATGCAAGCTAAATTCCACATGAATAACAAATTAAAGCTAAAATATTTGCCTCCAGAGAGAACTGAAAACTTTTACGATTAAAGAACAAAGAGATATTTAGTTGGCTGTCACTTTACTCAGGGAATTATGTTTGAGTTTGCAATTTTGGTAATGAGAAATAGGGGAAGCAAGTTTTTCCACGAGTCAATTGATGTACAAGAAGTTTCTGCTGGAGGAAGAAATAGAATAATGCAAATCTAGTGATTAATGAATCAAGCAATAAAAGAACACAACCACCATTAAGTCCAAGGAATAAGCAAGTGGCCAGAGAGAACAGAAAGAATGGTCCTCAAACTCTTTGTACAGAGCAGATGGCAAGAAAAAAAAATCAAGCAAAAAACATTTTAGGATTTTGTGTAGGGGTCATATACATCATGGTAAAGTACCTGTCACTCAAGTAAGATGCAAAAACAGTTTCGAGTTATTACAAAGGAGAAGTCGTCTGTAGTTACTTGGAAAAGTTTTGAATTATGATATAAACTAGCATAAACAATTTCAAATGCTAAAGCAATATAGCTACAGTACCTTCCTGTCGAGCGCCCGAACTTGATCTCTGTAACGTTTCAATTCAGAACTCTGAAAAAAAAAATCTAAGCAAATAAGAAATAAGAAGTTATCCAGCTACCCCTGCAGACTAATAAACAAGGCTGAATATGTTTGATATGGTAAAGATTGACACTGGAAAGTATTGGCAAAACTTCAGATACACTCAACAAATTCAGGCAAGTGTATATGCATATTAGATCAGATAGGATATCTGAAAACAATCTGGATAACAGACAGCTTCATGTTTGACAAGAAATGACAGGAAAACAAGATGGGGTTCAATTACAAATAATAAGTCACAGTACTAATAGTACACCAGACCTGGCCAATACAGTTTTTAAAACTTAAGATGACCACAAATGACACATGTGATTTGGTTAAACCACTTACTACTACGGCTCGATACAATGTGCACACATTTTGCATAGAGATGCATAACCTGTTATGAACTGAACTAAGGCAACTGGCCAATGTATTTAGTTCCCCAATAAAACTAATGAGACATTTTATAAATTATTTAAGCTAACTATTGATAATACATACATCTATATACATAAACATAATGTACGTATGCATACACACACACACACGTGTTTGTGTTCTGTATAAGGTTTGATGATAGTGAGGTGGCTGCTCATTTTGCAAAATGAATAACCAAGAGAATAAGTGGTAAGGTCCATAACTTTTGATGTGACAACTAAGGTGGCCTCATCACGTGTATCTTTTGGTAGCTCATTTTGCAAAATGAGCCGCCATCTCACAACCATTAAATCCAACATATACACACACGCACACACAGAGGTAAATATGATTCTAAGTAGCCACCTTTGATTGAATCAAAGGATGCACCACTTAATGCATCGATTGTGCTATTCCAATGGACAATCCGCTCCATTTATCATGATCTAAATGCCTTAAAAAATCTGTAAAACAAAAATCATGATGTTTCAATACTTCTAGCACATATTTTTTATTGTTTTTTTTTTAGTTGTATTGTCGTAAGTGGACAGAAACATTTGTCCTTCCAACTTTTTAACCATTGGATAGACCTATTTGATCAAGATCTTCATCAACTAAAAAACCTTCATTTATTAAACAAGTGGTAGATTGGGAAAATATAAATAAAACGTGATGAGTAACTATATTGTTGCCCACATTTTTAGGACGACGAAAAAACTCATTGAATTCCCTCTCAATCACAACAAACCATGAAACCTGACTCCACCGACATCCCCTCTCCCTCAACGTCGCTAGCACCACACATTGACTTTGACGCCATCCATCGCCAGCGCAAAACTAAACTCCAACGCAGCCAATCTCTCCCCATTTGCCGCAAGCGCCAAACACCCCTCCTCAACTCCTCACCTGTTATCTCCAGATGCTGCTCAATATATCTTCACCCCTTATCAGATGATTAATTAACAAGGTTTGTGATAAGCCTTTAAATATTTTTTTTAAAAGGAAAATGTTCTATGACCTCAATTTTGATACTTAATTTTTATTAATAGAGTTCTTTAATCTTGATATTGTATGAGAATAGTAGTTCTATAATTTCTTTTAATCTTCACTTTTTTAATTGAGCTTCCTTTATCTGACATCATATGGGAACTATATTATTGGCTAAATGGTTGTTTGTTTGCACAGGTTTGATGCTTAGGATGCTCCTTTGGGGAATATCTTGAAATGAAGAGAATTATTATGTATGATGCCGCTGAGTCTGCTTGCTTGCTCGGTGTCTAGCATATGAAATTGAATAATCAGAGTATTTTATACAGGAACAATATTGTTATAAATTCAGCAAAATATCATATCTTCAAGTTCAAAATTGAGGTTATTTGTGATCTTTATAAGTTCAGCAAGAGAAACATGAAAAGTTTGCCTTAATATGACTCAGATCTCAGGCGTAGCTAAAACTGCTATTAAAATGTTATGAGGATTGAACACATCTAGCATGACTCGTTTACATCCTTAACCCCAAAATAGTAGATAAGCATGATCTATGATGTAAAGATAAAAACTATAAATTCACGTTATTGAAGAGCAAAAGAAAATATGATCAAGACAAAGAAACTCATGTAAAGTCAGTACTTTTTCTTTATAAAGCAGAGTGAACACCATTGAGTTTATGCTACTTAATGCTTTATATCATTCAAAACCTGCTCCAATCTATTGACACTCGATAAGATAGTGGAAACATCATTTGATGAAAATTTAAACCCTGATCACCTATCAAGTACAGTCCTCAAAGATGGATTCTTGCAAGCCCTCTTGGCAAGGAGCGGAAAGGATAAGGAAAAGGGGGACGATGAGAAGCACGAAGTGGGAACAGTTGATTGTTGTTTCCATTCGTGATGAGGGAAGAAGAGGACTGCCGAGAGAGATGCCGAGGCGCAAAGATAGAGACTAGGAGACAGATTCTTTATGATTATGTTGATTTCTGTTTTTGTTTCTTTTTTCTCTTCCCATACTATCCCTTCTTTAATAAATGAGGATATTTAGTTGATCAAGATCTTGATCAAATAGGTCCACCCAATGGTTAAAAAGTTGGATAGACAAATGCGTCTATCGCACTTGATCGATAGTCCCCTCTCTCTCTCTCTCTGCTCCTCTCTCTGCTGCCTGTCTGCTCTCTATATCATATAATATATAGTATATATATATATATATATATATTATATATATATATATTATATATATAACCACATGTGTGTGTGAAGGCGTATCCTTCATGTTTTTGTAGATCCTAATGGTAGTAATGGTGGACAGTTTGGACAGTTAGATAACCAGATTGCTTTTCATAAGGTCAGAAATAAGTCTATATTTACATAGGCCAACTACTTTTTGACAAATAGCACATGTGAATTCAGACAATTACTCCAAATTATGGAAATGTTTCTTGAATTTTAATCAATTAGAATGACATATGAAAGTGATAGGTCTGATAAGAAAAACATTACAGGTAAAAAAGAGGAAAGATTGGAAGATTTCATGTTTCCACTGCAGCTGTAGAAAAACAGCTGTAATTAGAGCTACAGTGGTCTGTTTAGTGCAATAAATCGTTCCATCTAACAATGATAGGTCAGTTTAGTTTAATAAAACATTTCACGAGAGGTCAAGTGAATAGTTGATATATTCTTAACATTTTCTCTCTAAACACTCAAAGCCTCCAAAAAAGGTTGCCACAGAACAGATTCTATATGTTATTACATTAGATATTATTTTCTGGATTTGGTTAGTTTTAGATAAAACTATAAAAGACAATATAACACAATATAGTTAAATTATTGATGAGTTGTGGTTGGGAAAAAAAATTTATCATGTCTGGATTTGCTTTATTTAGAGACTTTAATTTGTTTTGATATCCCGCTTCATTTAAGAATTAAGATTGAATTTGCAAATTTTTGTTTGTGTTTGAACTTCTAGGTTCATCAGTTTAGAAGTTTTAGTTTTATTTTAGATTGGGGTAGCATCTATAAATACAACGATTATGGTACTTTTATTATGTACTTGATAAACTGAACAATGATTTGATTAAAAAATCAGCATTTTGCGATTGTCGGGGAGGCGAAACCCTAAGATCTGAAGCCTTATCCAGAACTACACAAAGCCAATCGCAGCAACTCCTACTCAAACCCTAATTCTCACCAAGTCCGTGCACTGCCACTTATTTTTTAGGTTTTTGTGACTTGGCTTATGAAGTTCCTCCAGAACTTCTATGATTCTAAAAATAATGCATCTACTTAGTTGAACCACAGGACATTGTTGTTTTTATGTCTGGATTAATCAGTTATTAGAGAGAAAGAGAGAATAATTATCCATTTTTCATATGCATTTACTATGCAAACACATTTTTTGGGGGTAACCATGCAGTAAATACTTGTTCACACCAAATTCCAGCTAAAGTTGTAAGTGCACTGAAGCCCACAGAAGCAAAAGAACAAATATATGGTCCAGAAATATAAACAAGAACAATTATGATGAAAAGAAACAGTATGATACTGTAGATACAAACTATGCCCGGTTCGCCTTTCTTACAAAACTATCAATAGTGGTGCCTGATGTCACTTATATACTCTACTTGCTAAGAAAAATTTGCTATTTATGTTTAACCAAGAAAACAGCAAGAACTTAGAGCACTAAGAAACAAACCGCAGAGTCCTTGACAGAGCCATCATCATCTATCACTTGCTGTATCGACTTGACCAACGCTTGACTTATGATAGCATCCATTATCTGCAGAAATTACCAGCGAAACTGACACATAATCAGGAAAGCTGCGAGTCAAAACGGAACCGGGAAAAGTTATTCAAAGTTGCAATGCGTACCGACTGCGCGAGGGGCATGAAACGGGTATAACAATCGGCACCTTCCTTCCTCGCTGTTTCTAGCGTAGCTCGCAAAGTCTGAGCACGCTGCATAAGTCCAACCACAGCCATTGCTTCTGGTCCGTCGACAGATAAGCCTCTGGAGACACGCTCAATTGCGGATTTGACCTTCAGTTTTCATCAAATGAAACCGTCGGTTATATTCGTTAGGGACCGGCAAGTGTGTTCAGGTCCATGCCCAATGTTATTACTGAAGGTAATTAAATATGAATACGACGCTTCGCTTGAAACGAAAACATGAAACGCTACCATAACGACATCAATCCCAGCAAAGTCCAGGCCGGCGCCGATACTTGATCAATCTCGAACGGCGGCCCGCCGTCTCCTCAGCCCGGCCTCTTTGCTCTCCCAAACGTCAATCCGTCGAAAAAAGCTTTATCTAGAAACCGATACCTAATAAAAATCACTGAGAGCCTGACCAGCATCCAAATCTCACAGCGCCGCCAGGCTAGGGTCATACCTTGGTGGCTTCTCGGGCCGAGGGGCGTTCGCGGCGCAGAACGAGGACACGTCGTCGCAGAGCTGTCCACTCCGAGGAGGCGGAGGGTGTCGGAGACGACGGCGGATTTCGGCGGCCGGTCGCCAGAGACGAGCCGGAGCTGCCGAGAAACGCAGCGGATCCTGAGGCGGAGGGGTCGGCGGTTGGGGGTACGAAGCGCGGCGGCGGGGCATTGAGACCGCGCTTGAAGACGGAGCGTGGCGTGAGACATTTTTTGGGAGGGAGCAGAGAGCAGATAAAGATGGGTTGCCGTGCCTGGGGCCTTTAAGGGGGGCCTCTCATCTGGTTTAATTTACAAAATAGCTAGGGTGACAGTTTTATCATGACATGACTCATCATCCGACCGACCGACCCGTTATATTTGGGTATGGTCGGGTCTAATGTGTCAACCCGAACTGGACCGTTTCATTAGATGGGTAAATTAGGGTGATCTCGCCTGCCCGTGTAACACAAAGAGCTCACCCGTATAGTGCTACAGCGATTGGAAAATTGGGTCCGTCAAATTCCTTTGCTAGCAACTCGTCCTCTCTTCATCTCCAAAACGAAACCCTAGATTTCCATCTGCGTCAGCGGCGAGCGACGAGCGACAGCGAGGGGCGTGCGGCGGCGAGCCCCAGCGAGGAACGTCGAACGGCGACGGCAGCGGCGAGCGCAGCCGAGGAGCGAGCGGCGGCGATAGGCGAGAGGTGACAACGAGTGACGGCGAGCGGCGTCGTTTCATCAAATCTATAAAGTTTAAGGGTCCCCTCTTCCACATTGTAACGTATATCATGCTCTTTAGATTGTAGAGTTAATGGTCCCCTCTTCCACATGTAGCGTTAATCTTCCCTATCTACAGAAACACTATTGCTTGGGTCAAAAATCACTGAACCTGAGATTGAGTCCCTGAGTTGAGACCAATAATTTTGTCAATGCTGCGAACTAGTTTACCATGTAATAAAACACAATAGATGACTCGGCTCAAAAAAATAGGGTCGATTGAAGATAGACCCCCTGTACTAGCACCAAATTGCAGATAGACCCTCTGTACTACTGCCAAATTGCCTGTACTTCAATTGCAGTCAGGGTCTATCTGCAATTAGTCCTGTAAGAATATGAAAATTAATGACATAATGATACTACATATTGGTAGAGAACCTGGTTCCTACGAGAGAAACACCTCTCAACCTCTCTTATTTTTGTCATTGAGGTATTATTCTGGTCATTCATCTCTAATTGCTTGTCATACTTGCTATATGCTATAGTAGCCATATTTCATTTTGCTTAATCCATATTTGAGCTAAAGCATACTACTGAATCTTGTTTTTAAGTATTCTACTAAGTTGTTTTTAAGTATTCTGCTAAGTTGATCAATAATCTTGGTTCATCTTTTATTATGTGCATATGTTTATTCTCTCATGTTGTTTATATTTAAGAATCCTTAACCAATACCGTAGCACTCTTAAGCCTAACAATGTGGAGGCTTTAGTTTGCTCGTGTGATTGGTTATATAGTATCAAAGTGATATGAGTTGCCGTGCGAGCACCTTTCATCGCGGAATTATCAAAGGTGGGTTGAGAAGAGGATGACAGAAATACAAGCACAATTCAGTATATGGCGAAGGAAAATACCTTCTCTAGATTATGGAGAACAAAAGATTATAATCTCTCCCTCACAATCTCACTAGAATCGAGGACAACCTCTCAATCCTCTCTAAACCCTAATACAACGATTAGAATCTATCTCTGATCTAAGATCTCATAGATCCTCACAATCTAAACCCTAATCCTTTTGATCAGGATCTCACTTAGACCTAAAACCCTTTAGATCTATATCTTGATCTTTCTCCTCTCCTGTTTAGAACCCTAAACAGTCCCTATTTATAGGGTTTACAACGTGGTGACAATCTGGTAAATAACCAAAACCAAACCAAACTAGAATTCTTTCAAAACAGAAACCAAGTCTGCCCAGGAAACCTCGATGAGTCGACTCATGACTGAGATGAGTCGACTCATGATCACCAGTCGACTCATGGTCGACTCAAAATATGCACAAACTGTGCTGGCCTGCATGAGTCGACTCATGATTTTCATGAGTCGACTCAGCAGAAGCATTTTGCTATCTGGAGGTGTTTTCTTAAGTCGACTCATCAACCCGTCAGTCGACTCATCAGGCTGAGAACTGAAATCTTTGATTCTTCGTTCTTCCACTCGCTTCATGCTCCTTCGTTCTTCCGACTCGCTTCACGCTCCATCCTGTGCTCCGCCGTGTCGCTTCACACCACTATTCTCAAGATATCATGAGAATCACCTATCCTCAAGCTCCCATGAGGATCGTTTTTCCGAAGAGAAGATACATCCGTATCATGGGTCCCCTCTTTAGAAACTTGAAGTCCCGTTCAAGTTAGAATTTTAGCTGAGGAAACTCTCGAGCCCCTCCATCTTTGTTAACTTCAGTCATCTTCTTCTTCCTTAAAACCTGAACTCCTTCACGAATCGAAGGAAATAAAAGAGCTAGCTTTCTGGATGATAAAACGGTAGAAAGTGACGAAAGTTACACGCTTTAATTCTCTCTTTTTATTTGTCTCACAAAATTTAAGTAGCAGGGAGAGAGAAAAGAGGGTCATTTTAGATTTTATCTAGAGCAAAAAACTTGGACAAATTTTTAAAACCAACCCCGTTTAGAAACATAATTGAAAAAACCGACCTATTTCCAAATTAATTACCAAAATCGAATAAAACTGTGTCGATTTTGACGAAAAAATACAAAACTTCACGGGACTGCGAATCCCGTGAAGTTTAAGAGCGATGTAACTAAGCTGATTAAGAGGACCTCTTAAACTTCACGGGACTTGAAATCCCGTTAAGTTTTATAATGTACAAAACTCCAGGGGACTTCAAGTCCCGTGGAGTTGCAAGTTTTAAAAAATATGCATAGGTTCTGTGCATGTTTTTTATGTATACATATTTCCCAACAATATACACAATTTCCCAACAATTTTTAACAATATACATGAAAACAATTTCCAAACAACTTCACAACAATATACATGAAATTCCCGCCTCATTCACAACAATATACATGAATCAAACAATACACACGAAAACCACATATATACTGAATTACAACAATATTCATAAAATTAAGCCATGAAGCAAACAATATTCACGAAAATCACATATATAAACAATAATCGATTCACAAAAGTAACAAATTTGAACAATCTAACCATATCGTTCTTGAAATTCACAGAAGTAACAAATTTGAACAAAAGAAATTCACATGCCCCTCTGTCCATGCTGCTGAGCCTCGATGATCTGAGTATCTGGTTGTGTATGAGGCTGAGAAATGCCGGCTCCATCAGCATACATCGTGCTATGAGAAGTGTCTGCTCCATCGTCACGCGCCATCATTTAACCTGTCCTACGGCGTCGCGTGTACACTTAACCAAATTGGCGTGACCTGTCCTTACGGCCTTCAAACTCGTCGACATAATTTTTTGAATACGCTCGCTATTATCTGTTTGATCCTGTTGAAGATCCCTAAGACCGTCGGATCCTGAATGTCATTTATATCCTCATTTATATCAGCCTCAATCTCATCAAAAGCATTGATCTGCGAGTTAATCAATATATACACAACTTAGCAAATACTATCTTAATAAAAAAATTTCCGTTTTAATTTAGTTTAAAACTTACATAATCTCTCTCGATCATGGCACTAGAGATGTAACTATCTATCGGTGGGCGTGATACGTATCCGGCTGCTGGCTATGTGTCGCGTCCTAGTGGTTGAGCTCAAAGATAACAGGACATCTTAAGAAAAAAGATATGAGATTTGAAGTGTGTACAGAGTAGCATTCAGACTTGGGTGAGAAGAATGCGAGAAACAAACTTCTGAAAGGAACAATGCAAGATTAAAAAAATCTAAGATGTACAGTGCAAGAAACAAATTTCTAAGAGGTCACGTATATGGCATTCTGTCATACTGCATTCGTGAAGCTAAAATTCATAAATCCAGATTCCAGATTGATGACTGCACAATTCAATAATATGTTGTTTCTTGGTCGTGGGAAATTACCAAGGATAAGTTTACCCAAAGAGCATAGAATGAAAACATAATAGTTTCAACTTGATTCAACACTTCATAAGAGTAGAGGGCAACTGATCGGACATCAATACTGAGACCAGCGTACATCATACTAGTAACGAACAATAAGGTGACAAGGATAAAATCTTATTACAGAACACAAAAAGTATAAAACATACACTAGTCAACCAGTTCAGTTAGACGATGCTTATTTTTTATCAGAGTTATTTTCTAGAACTGAAGAAATTAATTCAAAACAGAAGATGAAAAAGGCTGGTTTAGCTACGACTCTCTATAGCTTTAGTAGTGGTAATAATAACAATGCAACTACTTATACAAGATAAACAATATAAATTGGCGAAGGATAAATATGGATGCTATGTATCAGTCCACATAACATAGCCTGTGACACTAATAGCAAACTATCGGATATATCTGAATACAAGAAGCATCAAACAAGCCATGTTAACTTTCTAAGCATTGTATGCCGCACAAAGCAGGTGAATACAAAAGCAAAACTAATGATTGTGGAAGGAAAAGGGGCTACACCAGTCAGTTTCTTGGACTAGTATGGTCAAGATATGGGTGCTACACAAGTTAGACCTAAAACTCAGATCAATGCATCAACAGTATAAGTGGAGAATAAAATGGACAAAGAGAAATAAATGATTCTACGTGGGCGTATATGTACACGAATGTCAGAATGGCCTGAACCTGTATCTTTCAGAGCCCCTCCAATTTGGCATTAGATATGGAACTAACTTTCAGCAAGAAACCAAGTAGCTTCCTGATATTTTCTAATCCTGGCACGCGAGCAAAATGCTAAAGATATTGAAGAACTATCAAATTATAGACTCGCACCCTTAGCTGTCAAACATAAATCTTCTCAACACACTCAGCATACAAAGCTGAATATATAAGTAACCTCCAAATATACCCACCCAACAACTAAAGACATACGAGACAGAACCGTGCTTTTGGACTTATTATCCGTTTAATAATTTGGAAATTTTATGCTTATGTTAAGATTCTAGTGTTAAAAAAGGAACTTACTCCAATAAACATGGAGAAAATTTTAGATTTTAGCTTTTCTACTATGGGACCAAACTAGCACCTTTCAACATAAGCATGTTGCCAGGAGTGTGGACCACATAGGATACACCTTATAACTCCAGCTAGCAGTATGAGAGATTGGTGCAACTTGCTTCCCCTTCAAGAACCAGTCTATAAAAGAAGACCCTTACCCTCCACTCTTCACCAAAATTTCTACCTTGACAAGTCCTCCAACTCCCCTCCCTGTTTTCCGATCAAACATCAAAGAGATGGGAGGTCAGACAACCGAAGCTCTTGCTCCTTCTCTTTCTGTTGCAACAGTATTTGTGCTCCTTTTCAGCATTCATTTGGAATCATGTCATGGAGCCAGATTTATTTCTGCCCAAGAAGCAGCAAGCAGACACTTCATTAGAACTTCTTGCAGCGCAACGACTTACCCTGCCCTCTGCTTCAACTCACTCATCCTATGAAGGCACAATAAAGACCAACCCCATGCAACTTGCTCACACCGCCCTTTCTGTCACATTGGACAGTGCTTGCTCCACTTCTACACCCATGAAAGACGATGTCGAAGAGTGGAGGCATGAGCCATCGAGTGGCAGCGGCCATGGCCGATTGCATGGACAACATGGAAGATTTGCTCAATGAGCTTAAGCAATCAATGGACGCAATGGCACATCTTCAGGGAAAAGATTTTGGATTTCAACTCAACAGTATTCAAGCTTGGGTGAGTGCAGCACTGACAGATGATTGTTAGACCCTAGAGGGGGGTGATTAGGGTCTTATGCTAATCTAATCCGATTAAATGCCAATTAAAATTACTTAACAAATATATTCTTACAAGATAGATATATAAAGAGTTATGTGCAAGAATATGTAATGTACACAAGGTGATATATCCTATATGATAGAAATATGTGTAAGGATATATGAACAATAAAATATATCCTAACAAAGAGATATAGACAATATATGTGCAAGGATATAAAATTTACACAAGGGTGAATTAATCATAAACTAGATAGAGGGAAAAAAACAACAATGAGCAATTGACAAAGGCAATATGAATAATAAGCACGAATGTAAAAGTACGCCAATGCAATCACAAACAAAACGATATGTTTACGAGGTTCGGTCCCCACGACCTACGTCCCCGCTCCTCACCTCGAGGAGATCTCCACTATCACAACCGGGTTTTCTACGTTCACCCGAACAACGTTTACACCTCACAATACAATCACTATGTAATCACACCTCACACACTAAGTGTTGGTCCTAGCCCGTGTCCTCCTCCTCAAGTGCTCGGTTACAACCTCTCCCTAGGCACGTCAACCGACGCCACTCCTCTTGGATTCGACCCCGTCTCTCACCACACACTTCTCTCGGTGTACAAGTGTATTACAAGTGAATCCTCACAATTAAGCACAAGATAAATCAATTGATTGTTCTCTAAACAAGGTGAGAACTCAATTAAGCACAACTCTTAGTCACAAACCCACAACCCCAAATTATACTATGAATGTAAATACAATAAGCTCAATAGGTTGTGTGTGAACAAAGAGATAATAAAATCAACTAAACTCAATATGAACACTAGCTTAATAAAAAGATAATCAAACAATATAAAATATGAAGCTAGATTGAGTTTAGAAAACTTCTCAATAGATCAAGAGTGGAAGGAGAAGAGTTGGATGCTCAAACACCAATAGATGATCTCCTCAAGCTCTTGTGGAAGTGATTCACAAAACCAAAACACTCAAATGCTTAAAAGCTTATAAACACACTTAAACCAAACATAAACCCTTGATTAAAACTTTCTTAAACTTGTTTTTAAAACTCTCTTAATAAAAATTGAAAAGACATCAGCAATGGGGTATATATACCCACTCAAAGCTCAGCCAAAACCCCCAAGCCAAATGACAAAACAGCCCCAGCAAACAACTCAGGAAAATAGCCGTTAGAAGACAACGGCTAGATTGTCGGTCGACCGGAAATTCTGTCGGTCGACCGATTTGAGCTCTCGGTCGACCGGACCGGTCGACCGATGACTCTCTGGAAAAATACTAACGAATGGTCAATTGACCGGTCGACCGTACCGGTCGACCGAAAACTAACATTCCAGAAAAATCGGTTTTAGAGCTGATTTTAAAACCCTGTTTAAAAATATCAAATAAATTCCAAAAAATGTAAAACTTTGGGGAATGATTGTAGACATGATAATAAACATGCTACAACGACTGGTTTCGAAAAAGGACTTCCCAAATGAAAAATATCATCATTTTACAAAATAGTCCAAAACATGAAAACCTGAAAATTGATATTTTGATATTTTGACTTAAACAACATTTTGAAACCTTATGAAATGATTGTATAGACTTGATAAAAGATATAACATGTTGTTATGAAGTCTATAACCTAGAAATACAATATTTTCATAAAATTGCATATTCTATGCAAATATATTCAAAACACTAAATATGATTTCATTAAATATAAGCTTGTTAAAGGTGAAATCATATATAGGCATATAAACATGAAACAAAATAGTATTTTCCAATTCTATTCATTTGTTTCATAGTAAAACTTGAAAACTATCAAACCAAAACATATATGTATATATATAACTATATATATACAAAAACCAAAACGTGTATGTGTGTATATGATTGAGCTTAAAGTACTAACACACATAATATAAATTCCTAAACTAAATTACCCAAGCAATGATCTTGATCTTCAACGAAGCTCTATCTTGGTAATCTTGCGGATGAAGCTTGAACTTGGATCTTGACTTAAATGTGCATTGCTTCACTCCACTATTCCGCCAACCTCCTTTGGATATGATCGTTGAAGCTCTATTCCATCCATCCTCCAACACGTTGTTTGCCTAGAATAAATACGAAAACACAAACACTAGACAAACAACATTAGAAGTAAATTGTTTGTTAAACATCATCAAAACAAGAAGGCCAACAATCTCCCCCTTTTTGATGATGACAAACAATTTACAAAAAGGAATATATGCATAAAGGAAATGAACATATAATTTATAATTCACATGCATGTAAACTCAAGAAGGAATATACTCACAATATTTCTCCCCCTTTGACAACATCAAAAAGGGGACAAAAGGATTAAGAGAGCGAAAGCTCCCCCTATCAATAAGCACGGGTGAGTATCAAACATAAAAAGATATAGGGATTGCTCCCCCTATCAAAAAACTATATAGAATATATGCAATAAAGATCAAGGCAAAACATGTGAGCAAGCATACATGAATATGCTAAA